GAATACAATATCACGAAAATCTTCAAATGTAGATCTAATCCGATAACTATTTAAGTTGTTTCTATGACACTTAACTTATAGTTTTAATTTTACAGTTGTAAAGAAACTCGACTTTAGTCATCATTAGAACTTTTGTGATTATAACTTCACATATTCTAATTGTGCAAAGTCATGTCGCTAACGAATGATTCGGCCTATATGTTAAATAAAACTTCAAAAAGAACTCATATCACTCTTTCGAATTGTTCCTGACACATTCATATTTATTTTTCGTTCAAACTTTTGGAACAAACGGTATAAATGTATTTTATAGCAATTCAAAATTGTAAACGATCACCTATACATACAAGATAAACAAACACTTAAAGTTACTAAAGCATTGACTGTTCTCTTTTTCTTAACGTAAAAAGAAAATGAAATATTTTTTTTTTATTAAAAGTCTTTTCTCTTGTTTATGACATATTTTTCTGTTGGCTGCTGTTGAGTCATAGGATCATATAAAACTTATGTTTTACTATCATCCGAATAAAAAACAATTCGTTCTAGTACCAATGCCAACATATATGTTAAATGGTTCGCCAACTTACTCTCTTGTCTGCATTTTAAATATGGCAAAATAAATTTATTTCGATTTTGTTTTTTCTTTTTTTAAGGCAGCTCCACCAACATTTGTTCCACCACACTTATATCAACCACAGTTGTATCAACCACAGTTGCATCAACCACCTCCATATGATGTATGATAATTTTCTTTTTTTTTTTTATAATTATTTATAATTTCTGTTTTTAAAGTTTGTACAAAGTGCTCCACAAGTACCAGCAACAGATGTTAGTTCATATAGTCTGTTTTTGTTTTTCCATTTATGTATTTATTCTTCTCTATTGATAATATAGTTTACTCGTTATCGTATTCCACGCATTAATCCATATGATTTGGATGATATTCCAACAGAATATCGAGCTATGTTAGCAACAAATTATCCTCCACGTCGTGATGATGATATTAATGGTTGGTTTGATTATTTTGAACGTGAAGTTGCACTTTATAAACAAGCTATTCGACGTATTATACAAGATGTTGTACAATTACGTGATCAGCATAAAACATTAAGAGCAGCAAATATCGATTTACGAACAAAATTAGAAAATTTTGAAAAGAAAAAAAAAGTTTTATATGAAATTTTTGAAGGTGATAAAATTGATAAAGCTAAAATTCAAGATATATTTAGTAAGAAATAAAACAAAATCTTCGTATTTATTAATAAATTGTAAAATTAAATCTTGTTTTTTTTTAGATCGTTTAAATGCTAAAATATCTGCTCAATCACTTGAAATAAAAGAAAACTATGCAAGAATAATTGGCTATGAAAAAGAATTAGCTCGTGTATACATATATATCATAGAAATGAATAATCAAAAAAAGTTTTTCTTTTGTAGAGAGGTGAATTACGTGCTCAATATGATGCATTAGTTCATTCAACTCAAGCACGTGAAGTAGAGATTAAATTATTACAACAACGAATAAGGAAAGCTGATGGACTTGAAGAAACAGTTCGACGTCAAGAAATGGTTATTGAAAGACTTGAATCATTGATTAATAATTTTATAAAACAAAAACGATTAGGAGGTTGAAATTCTTTTTGAGATAGATTTTCGTCGGAAAATAAAAATCATTATTTTTTGTAGGAGCATTTAGTGATATTGATAGAAGTTTTTTATCTGAACATGCTGCACTCGGTTTAGAAGCTCAAAAATTTCAAGTACGATTTTTGTTTAGATTTTTATTGATCATAGATTGAATATTTAGTAGAGACGAGTATCTCCTGGATATCATACAGAAATGATAAATAGTCAACGAGATGATCTTCTTCAACAAAATATAGCTTATCAACAAGAATTAGCTACTCTTAAAGCTCGAGTAAGATTTATAAAAAGTTTTATTTGTCATTGAATTACCATTACGTATTTGTTTTTCATTGATTATTAAGTAAGCATATTTGATATTTTAGTTGCAAGAAAATTCAGCTGCATGGGGAAGAGAAAAAGCTGAATTGCTTACACAAATGAACGATATGGAACCATCGGTGAGATTTTTATGTCTTTTCTTATCAATTAGAAAGTTTAGTTGTTTTTTTCCTAGTCGCCTACACCACGAACACGAACAAGAAAACCAAAACCTTCTTAAATGTTTATTTACCTATTTAAAAATAAAAGTTAAATAAATATTTTTTTTCTCATAATTGGCAAATACTAAGCGTGATCTATGGTCAATACGACTGTAATGAAAGTAGGACTAATCATCTATATAATCGTTGTTTTCATCTTACCTGCTATTGAGTATAAAAAATATTTTTTAATGAGTTATGTGAACGTCTTAAAATAAAATAAAATGTTTTGATGGGACTATATTGCTTTGTTCTTGCTAACTTTCCGGTCAATGATTTCGGTAGGTTCTCTTCGAAAAGATACCATCTTCGGTCGGAAAATTCCATAAAAGGGTAGAAATTAGGAAGCTGGAGTTTAGTAGCTGGTAGCTGAATTTTTGCAGTTCCGATTGGAACCGAGCATAGTCGGTCACTGGATTCCTACTTCCAAGTTCTTACCATTTTCGAAACTGCACTCCATTTACTGGAGCTGTCAATTGATCTATCCTTTTAAACGAAAAGTATAGTCCTTTTGTAGTAATTCTTTTCGAGGACGAATCTTTCCTCTAGAGAGAATCTAATTTCCACATTGCATTATGAAATACATAGAATATGAAAAATGTATTGTCGAATTATTTACATTTTCTTTTGGATGAATATATGGGGTTGGCTAGTATGACTGAATACGCCACTTTATTTTTCCTTGCATAGTTTCTATTCACGACAAAAATATATGATTTTTTTACCAGTTATAGTATTGATAAAGAGCTGATAATGTGCTATCATTTCGATTATATACCTTGACCAAAGTCAATGAAACAAATGGCTTTCTGAAATCTTTCGTGAAAACGTACTTTTATTAGGCTTGTTCATTGTGACTCGTACTATCTACCTGAAACAGTAAGATATAAAAATGATAAACGTCAGTTAGAAACAATCGATTAGGAACTACTGAATATGTTAGTATAATTTATTATTACGAATGGAATGTTTACTCAACTTAAGATTATGTAGTGCAGAGACAACACGTGTAATTTTAGTAATCTTATTCAAATCGTCATAAGGACCTTGATAAATACTTTCTAAAATGGCATTTTCTTTAATACGTTGGTTGATACAGATTGATAGTACGAATCACAATGAGTAAGCCTAACAAAAGTACGTTTTCACGAAAGATTTCAGAAAGCCATTTGTTTTTTTAGTTTTGGTCAAGGTATATAATCGAAATGATAGCAGATTATCAGCTTTTTATCAGTCCTTTAACTGATAAAAAAAGTCATATCTTTTTGTCATGAATAGAAAGTATGCGATGAAAAAGAAAGTAGTCCCTAATGTGAAACATAAAGATGTAAAAATTGATTTTGTTAAACGTTTTAAGTATCTAGAGGTCAATATAACAACCAAACTCGGATAGAAGTTTTTTTATCCTAAGTCGTTCGAAGAAAATAAGAAAAATCTATTACACTCTTCGAATACTGTTTAAGAAAATACCTATTTCTCTAATTTAACTAAGCAGGACATAATTCTTTTCTTATGCTTTCCTCCATTTAAACTGGTTGTCTTTATATTGGGTGTTTTATACCGAGAGGCAACAAAGACTGATTAAACACGTGTATTGCTCAGAACTATGCATAACAAATGACTTCAATTTGTTGGCCGATCTTAAAGTTTATATATTAGCAAAAGAATATACAATAAATGACTCTTTATATGAACATTGAAAAAAATTTAATAAATATCTAGAAATCTTTGCAAAAGAAGCACGTCAATATGAACTGACTTTTATTTCATATCACGCTGCAAAAACTTCTAAAAACAATTGGTATCGTAGCATAAGTACGCGCAAAAATAGTCAATTTTTGAATCGCTTATCTGCGAGAGCAGATCATTCGAAAATCGATCTGTTCGAGTTTTTCACCTCTCATTCGCAATAATATGAGTACTCTAAATATGCAACCTTTCCAACAAATTTTTCATACATCGGTAAACTTAGCAGTGTATTCGAGTTTTTTGTGAAAATACTCCTTAACAGACTTGCTCCAGGAAGTACACCAAATATACTGTCAGATGTAAATCTTTCGAAAAACTTTTATTGAGACAAATTCCTTAAAAATTCAAAAAACCTATTTTTCAAATTTTGTCTTGAGTGTAGATGAAGAATTTCTATCATATATTCGTTATAAGAACTGTTCCAATTGAGAAGTCATGCGTACCAGATAGAATTCGATGAGCTCTCTCTACTGGTATCAAACTCGACCTTGTTCATCGACAAAGTGAGCGTCTATTTGACCAAAAACTAATAGAACCGGGAATTTCAGCATATGTCATCACGAAATATTCGTTTCAAGATTCTACCAATTAAGAAACCATTTGTACTAGATAAACGTCGATGAGATCTATCCATTGATAGTGAATACGACCGAGTGCATTGACAGCATAGAAGTCTAACTGGCCGAAGACGGGTGATACAGGGGTTTTCAACACATGCCATGACAAAATATTCGTATCGATAGCTGTGCCAATCGAGAAAGGACGCGAAGTATAGGCGTGGATGTTCTTTTCACTTTCATACCCATATCTATTCGGACATCTGCACCCACGTCCACACCCAAGTCAAATTTTTTTTCTGTTTTCTTACGTGGAAAATCTTCCTTGGACAAAGGAATTTTACGAAATTAACTTAGTCATAAACAATTATTATCCATTTTTCTTTAATGATCCATCAAATACTTTTAAATCTGTAAGCATATTGATATCAAGTGTAAAGATATGATCAACATTTAATGAGTTATCTGACAAATTTAAAAAGAAAAACAAATTCAATCAAATTTTTATTAAAAATTCTATGTATCTCATTCAAACAGGCGCTTTCTTGATTCGATACAATAAAAAATGCATCATCTTCATTTCTACTGGTGATAAACTATGAAATGATATAGTTAATGGTGAACAACATTGTTCACCTTTTTTTTGATCAAATTGTGCATTTTTTTTAATCCATTTTGTAAAATTTCCCATAAAATGTTGTTCAAATGTCATTGGATGAAAAATTTCAAGTTGTTGATTATCACGTGCATTGATAACAAATATACCAATACGTGCAAGACAATAAGCAAGATTTATATCTTCAGCTTCATCTTTATTACATAATTTACGTTTCTCAGTATTTGTTAAAATTTGTTTACCAAATTGAAGTAATGCTTCTTGACTTAAAACATAACCAGCACCACCTGATGGATATAATCGATCTGAAGTTTTAGCTATATAACCATAATAAAATGATGTATTTGATGGACGACGTCGAAGAAAATGACGAAGATTTTCAATAATTACATATGTATCATCATCACCTTTAAAAAACCAATCATAATCATGACCATATTGTTTATATATATAGAGTAATGAAAGTAAAGTTTTTTCAGACAGTCGATTATATTTTTCTATGGTTTCATCGCCAATATAAGCAATAGGAAAAGGATATTTTGAATGATCAAACGAACGTGTTGGACGTGAGCCAGCAATCATAAAAACTGAATGATCACATCGTTTAGCCCATGTTCTGAATTCGAAATAGGAAAATTATCATTTTTTTCTAAATAATCAAGTTAATTCACTCACTCATATACAATAATTGCTCGATCGAGTCGATTAAGTGTTGTTGGAATCCAACATAAAATTCGTGTATTTATATTAATTATACTTGCTTTATCGCTTATATTATCAGGTATTGATATTTCAATATTATTTTTACAATGAGAATCGGATAAATAAAATAGATAAATTAAAGGTTCAATGATTAATAATAAAAGTATAATAAAATAAATGAATATTCGACGACGATATAATGACATGAAAATATAAGAGCTTAAGACGACAAAAAAAATCGAACGAATGAAAAAAATTAAGACAACATAAAAAAAACCTTCATATTATTCAATGTTTACTTTTCAAATGGAACGAAAAAAAAAAGCAGTCGAATCAGATAATTATAAGAAGCCAAACAAAAAAAGATGGGGTGTAAGTTTATAAGTGAGGAGTAAATAAACGTTCATTTTGCAAGACACTACTATATTCATATGCGTATAAGTACTAAATAATAGAAAATATTTCATTACTAATTATCCGAATTATTTTAAATCAAATATTTTTCTACTAACGGATGCATTGAAAGCTTTTCGACGAATTATTTCGATCGATTAAAAGAGCCAGAAGAAAGTATCAAGAATTTGATTAGAATTAAAACTGTGCTCCTTCCAAATTTTTATGAAACTCATAAATCATGAGTTATGAGAAAATCTTTTAGAAGCTTGAAAATAAAGTTTGAGCGGGCTTTGATGCTTAATAAAACGTCCAGGATAGAGGCTACAGCGTCCATCAACAATGCGAGTTTGAGTAAGATATACAATGATGTGTTTATAATTCCTTGATTTCCTGAACTTGGTCGTCTCCGATTGATGATAGCTATGAAACTCTCAGTTCTTAGCTGACTTTGTGTAAAGGACAGCTTCGACCATTATGCTGTGCAAAAATTTGCTAATAGAACGTATGCAATAAGGGACATTATTGCTGAGAAGCAAGTCTATTAAATAGATGCTAATTCAAAACGTTATGCAACCAAGAAAAAGAAAGTGAAATTAAACAAAATGAGCGTTTTTACGAAATCAAAGAAAAAAATTATTGAATAACAGTATGCAATTAATTTCCAACAAGATGTCGTCGCATTCGCCGTCCCTATTCAAACTTTATTTTCAGACCTGTCAAAGATTTGTTCATAACTCCTAACCTATGAGTCTCACAAAAATTCAGAAAGAGCACATAATTCTGATTCTAATCAAATGTTTAATACTTTCTACTGGTCCTCTCTTAATCGATTGAAAAAAAAAGGAATATTTTGTCTAAAAACTTTCGACGTATCTGTTACTTCTTTACTTCAATGATATGGATTATATTCATATCATAATTAAATTTATTATAAAAATTAAAACATCTTCTACTTATTGATCCAATAATTTCCGTCGCAAGTTGTACAACTAAGCATAGATTAGAAAAAATAAGCAGAAGAAAAATGATGTAGTTTATTATCATTTCCTTTTGCTTTTAATTTATTAATTTACTTTGGCGGTATTAAATTTCTCTAAAAGAACTGATGTTTGATTTTGTTCAATTACTTCAAGTAATCATCGTTATATCATTGCTATCTATCAATCGAATTGGTGAATGCTTAAATAAAAAGAGAAGAAAGAAAAAGAAAAGCTTGTGATTGGATAATATTACTATCGAAATAGATATACAAGAACTGTGCATCTTCGAACACATGGGATATCTCCTGAAATAACAGGTTTTTTTTGAATAAAATATGTAGTTGATAAAACTAAGGCATTATACGAGTAGAAAATATTAATTTATTTAAAAACAACAGAATCAATAATGAGAAACGGCTATATCTCATATTATATGAATATAATCTGAGTATTGTGTTTTTTGAAGAGTGATACAACTGAGTATTTTCTTAATAGTTTCGCAATATTTAGAATTAATAATATTAAGAATTTAAAATCATGTTCTTTTAGAGAAAAAAAAAATATTTATTAGATTAATGATTTGTAATCGTCATAGTTCAGGTAATAGATATATTCCTCGATAACATTAAAAAATAAGTTTTTTTTTTCTCTGTTAGAATATCTTTCAGAAAGTAAAAGATAATAAAAATAGCATAAGTAGAACAGGAAACAAACGGATGGAACATAACAAACAAGCATTGTTCATTGATGTTGTGAATCTTTCTGTTGTTGAACTACTAGGTATGAAAGTATTTGATGTTGTAACATTTTCAACTGATCGAAAAATATGAGTAAGATTGACAAGGGATCCAGCAGTAGCATACGGATTTGGATTGAGTTTAAGAATGTAACAAGCAATATGATAAATATCAACATTATTAAGTGAATTAATTTGAACATTTTCATTAAACGAAGGGCCACGAGCTATGAATATGGCTTGCATTGATGGTAGTGCATTATCCCATCCATGATTGCCTTTATTGTCATAAGATGCATTAGTTGTTGCCTAAATATAAAATTGAAAATAGCGTTCGATTAAGCTAATCAAAAGATTTACTGCAGATATAATGTGACCTTCCACATCCGGTAATGCAATAATTTCTCCAAGTCGATGTTTTGGTTTTGAATAATGAAAACGTTTAGGCATTTCATCAAGTTTATATGCTGTTACATTAGGAATATTGCTAAGATTATTGCGCACTTGTTCGGTCTTTTTTTTTCGAATAAATAATTTATCATAGACATAGTTATCGAATTATATATGCTCACTAGTCCATTTCTTGGCATGACATTGAATAAGGCACCAGAAAGAATAGTTGATTCAACTGATGATCGATTGATATATTTTTCAAAAAATGGTCGTATTACTTTTGTCACATTCGTCATACCCTTAAATCTTGAAATGTATTCAAATAGCCAGTAATTTTCGAATAAGAGTGTGCTATTAGAATTATCATTAGTATCGATGTTAAGCCAAATGCTTTAGTATTATTGTGCATTAAAATCAATTAATGCTTAGGTTTCACCATTAAGTTAATATTTTTCTTTTAATTCAAACATATAACTTTTTGAGCACTATCTCAACACTATACTTATAATATTTTAGGAGCTACCTATCTTGGATGTAGATGGATATGGCTATGACTGATCCTGTGAAATGGATGTCAGTGTAGAAGTGGAATGTAGGATGTTGATGTTGTTCTCAAGCACATATCCATATCCAGACCCAGATGCACTCACATTCGCAGGTACACTTAAACAACGTAAGGTAGCCGAAATTCAAAATTTGAACAAATTTTTTTTCTTCATAATTTCTGCATGGTTAGATAGAGCTCATAAAACTGTATAAGAAAATATGTTTTTAAAAAGTTTCTAGTCTTTTATTTACAAGACAAAAGTGAAAATCCTAAGGTGACCCCATTTTATAGGAAAAACGCCTAATTTCAAGAAATAACAGCCGACTTTTTTTTTTATCTGGTTCTAATAACTATAAGAGTATTTTTTTTTTCTTAGTCACCACACAAAACTGACTATAAAAAGGTAATATAATTCTTTTTGAAGTATAACGTAACCGACTTTTTTCTCTACATACGAGGAACTATTTATTCATGTTGTTTTTTGCGCTGATTACGAATGTGCTGTTTGTTTTTGTTGAAAGGAAAGCTTTTCAACTCCAAATCCCACATTCTAAAGACAAAAATTGGCATTTTCCGGTTTTTTTCGCTATAAATCTTTAGTTTTCTACAATTAAACATGAACAAATGGTACTTCATATGTAGAGAAAAAATCGGTTACACTATACTCTAGAAAGAATTAGATTACCTTTTTATGGTCAGTTTTGTGTGATGACTAAGAAAAAAAAAATACTCTTATAGTTATTAGAACCAGACAAAGAAAAAATTTGGCTGTTGTTTCTTAAAATTAGGCGTTTTTCCTATAAAATGGAATTTTTTTGTTCTTCTCTAATATCCTCGACACACCTTCTAGTTGAAAAAGAAAACTATTTGCATAATTTCAAAACGTTAACTTTGTGGACATATTACAGTTAATACTCATAAAAATTCACCATTAAACATAGGTTGTTTTCGCATAAACATTAATCGAAATAAGCAGATAAATTACATATGTCATTTTTATTACAAAAGCAATCAAATACTTGAGACGATATATTAAATTATTTTTATGATCTTGGTGGATTAACCGTTTTTGAAACGAATGTGAACTGATAAGAAGATCATAAGTAACATATTAATATAGTTCCATAAAAAAGATTATAGATACGATACTCAGATAGTCCACAAAAAAAGTTATAGACGTAGTATCTAGATTGTGCTTCAAAAATTATATGAAATATATTTTTAATACTAATGATAACATGTCTCTCTTCTATGTTTTGAAAGATATCTCAAGCTAATAGATTTTTTAAGTATTTTTTACATACGTGATCGGAGAGTATAATAATATTTAAATCATCATTGAGTTCATTTTTTACTTTATTCAATAAATATTCTATATCACTATCGAGACGAAATAACTAATTAAAGAAAAATATATAAATAAATTTTCTTCAATAAGTTTTTACTTACTACATCGCGTACTTCTGATGAATGTGGACCATATGTATGACCTTGTTTATCTGGTTCACTTAAAGAGAAAACAATTATGTCGAAAAATATGTAATTTGGTTGTTAATTATACAAATGATATAACATAACGAGTTGAACTGATAATTCACGAAAGTAACCTATGGCATTGTCGATTTTTTCACGAAATGGTATATTATCAGTATATAACCAACTATAGATCACTGGACGAATACCAAAGAATTCATTATGACATGCTGGCCAAAAAAGAACAGCCGATTTTACTTTCTAAAATAAAGAAAATATTCAATACTTTAAATAAATATTTTCATTTAAAACAAAAATAAAAATACCTGTTTAGTCGCAGTAATCCATAAAGGTTCTACTTTTGGATCAGACCATTGTCCATCATCACGACTACCTCAAAAATAAAAAAGATCAATGGACTATTGTTTATATTAGATTAAACAAAATGAAATATATACTCATTCCAATAGTTTTATTTAATAATCTATCATAGAATGAATTATGTATGACTCCATGATCTTCTTGATACATTCCTAAATTTTATACACAAGACAATATCAAATAATTCAATATTAATATATCTACGTATAGACCTGTAGCAATTGAAATATGATTAGGAAATGTCATTGTAGTAAATGTAGGTCGCATTCCATGTGTTGCTTGTACACCTTCATTGCGAAATCGATTCAATGTAGGTAAATTATGCTCATTTAAATAATCATGACGAAATCCTTCAAAAGAAATGATTTTCAATTATAATCAAATCCTATTAATGTACATCGTACCATCAAGTGAAATAATGAGTAGACGTGGCATATTAGATAATTTTTTCATAGCATCATTATATCTCAATAACGAAATTTGCAAGACAAAAACTATCGAGATAATATGTCGAAAGTGCATCAAAAACAAGTCTTCACGTAGTTTGTATCAAATTATAATATTGATTCTCATAGGTTTGTCATAAATAACTACATGTTTTATCCGTTCGCTATTTGTTTCTTATCTTTGAAAAAGTATTTATTGAGAATTATATAGGTCAGAACAGTGAAATATAATGTGGAGATTCGGAAGAGGTAAATACTCAACCACACCTTGTTTTTTTACGTAGTTTAATAGATTTGATATAATGTCTTTTTGAATATATCATATATCAAGATTATTTAAGGTCTTAACATTCATATTAGGCAGATGTGTGAGATGTTTTTACATTAGAAAAAAAAAAAGAAATATACATATAAACAATTGATAAAATACAATCATATTAATTGTTCAAGTTCATCAGCTGATCGATTTAAATATGAAGCTGCTTCTCGATAAGCATTGATAAGAACTTTAATTGAATTTATTTCATTAGTAGACAATTTTATTTGTTTCGATAATTTATTGACGTTTGTTGTTGATGAATCATTTGTTCCTAAATGAAATCAAAAGAATTTTATCAATAAAAATAAAAATTGAAAATAAAAACAAAAAACACTTTGATAAGAACCATTAGTATGTGTATGAGATGATACGAGTGATGTTGGAAGAGGTGGAGGTGGCGCTGTAAGTGATTGAAGAAAATTTGATGGAGAAAAATTTGGACGGAAAAGTGGTGATGTTGAACCAGTACCATTCGAAGCTGCAGCAACAGCAGCAGCTGAAAAATAAGCCGATAGATCAATTGATGGTCGAAATTGTTGTGAAAATGCATGACGAAGAAAATCAGCATCAAGTGCCGATAATGTTGATGCTGATGATGATGTAACTAGATCAGCCTATAAATAATGCATAAAGAAAACATATGTATACATAAAGAATTTTCTTTAGTACAAAAAGAAAACTAATTAAATCAGTTCCCGTAGAATATCAAACAATGTATTTTTATTATCTCTCTATTTTAAACATATATTTATATATATACATACAGTTTTTGGTGTTGTATTATTTGAAGTTGAATTCAGTCGACTTTTTTTAGTATTATTTTCATTCGAATTAAAACGATCGGTAGTTGTTGTTGGTAAAATATTTGTATGATCCTACAAAAAAAAAAAAAAAGATTTATTAAAATTTATTATAATTATATATAGTTATACTTGATGTAAAAATGAATTTGTTGTATGTGATGATTGTTGAGATTTCCGCATTTTGACAATATTACGAATCATTCGACGAATTCGATCAAGAGATAAATCATGAAATTCTTTTATACAAGCATTTTCAAGTGCTTTTACTTGTTCATCATATGTTGAACCTAATGATGATGAATCATTAATTAATGCTTGAATGAATGACTTTAAAAAAAATATGACAAGTTTAGTTTTATTTTTTCAAAGTTTTTATTATTTTACTTTGAGACTTTTCATGCGTAGTTGAGATTCATTTTCTTTTTTGGCTTTATTATTGTTATTATTTTGAATATTTGCATCATTACTACTTGTGTCAATTTGAGAAGATGTATCATTTTGATTGGAGGATTGTATTGTTGATGATAAATGTTTAGTTGAAGAAGAAGAAGAAGAAGAATTTGTTTGATTTAAAGTTATTTCATTGTTACGATGAGGTGATCGAGAACGATCTTTCGGTGAATGAGCAAGCATATCTAAAAGCAAAAAAAAAAAAAAATATAATCATCTACTTTACATTATTTACAATGGGATATATCAAGACACACAAGAAAAAAGAAGAATCTTATCTTTTTTTTTGTACTAGTTATTTTTTTTTCTTTTCAGTGACTCCGTCATTATTTATGAAAATATAAAGTGATGAGTGAATAGACCAAGCATATTCTCTTCCTTTTTAGTTCTCCCTATTTTTCTTACTATTAATCTGTTGATGCTTCGTTGCACGTTCAGGTTGACATGTTCGTTGACGTGCACTAACTTATCTTACTTATAGGACGATGCTTGAATCAATTTCAGAGAATGAACTGTTAGTTACACATATGAGAGAAAAACGACGCACAACGGACGGAAGGCTCTCTTCCTGTCTTGTTCTCCCCAAAAAAGTTTTGTACTCTCTATCTCTTCATCTTTTTTTTTTTTTGACTACAAGACATCTCGCCATTGTAATCAATGAAGGTGAAAGCCGGTTAAAGTCTTTATGTGTGCAATGTCGGTAAACTATTAAAAACAGAAAGCGAACGTTGTGAGTATGCTCATTCCGCTCGTCTAACAAAAAAAATTGATAATGAAGACGAACGACGCATTTTGCACTACTACTCACATCACTATTTTCCCTCTTACCTTTTCCTTCTCTTCATCCAAAAAAAAAATATGTTATGTGTGTGTGTTTCTTCTTTCCGACGAAGACGACAATTCCTTTTCTCGTCGCCCAAAAAAAAACTGACGACGAAGGCACGGAGAGAAGATCATGTTTTCTGTTCTCAAACGGAATAATATAAGACGAATGGGCGCACACACTATATAGCTTAGATTCTACAACGTACCGACGCGACCAACACTCGAGATTTGCTTCACCTTGACAATGCGACGGAAATGAAATAGTGACGATGTAGTAACAGTAAAAAAGGAGAAAGACTACTGTTCACCTGTCATTATTAAACGATGTTAGTATTACTTTCTTCATATACCGACAACGGAAGTATTGCAATCAAAATAAAAATTATAAATTTTAAATAGAGAAACTTTCTTATGTTTCCGAATCAATTAATTATATTTGTTTCAAATCTTCTAGTTTTATAATGTTAATATAATAAATCATAATGATCTAGATAATATAACGATTAATTTAACTTGAAAATGCTCTGTTTTTTTTCCTCCTCATTCCTAATTGGCAAGAGTATCAAGCTGTTGCAATTAAATATATAGAGCACAATGGTATCAAAACATATTTGACGATAAAGCCTTTTTTTTTTTTGTTGCTTATCAATGACACTCTTCCTACTCGTTACAGCCTAATACTAGTTCCAACAGCTGGCTGCTGTTGCCAATCGATAGTGATGAAAAAAAAAAGAAAAAACGAAATATGAAAAAAACAACGGATTGATGAAAAAAGGACGAAGGAAAAAAAATTGTGAATATAGAGACACATTTGCGAAAAATCCGGCCGATTGATCGACGCGGTCTAAAAAAAAAGAACCAAGAGGAAAAAATTTTCAATTATTACACGTTTGGCTACTCGTGTAACATCAATAATAAGTTACTACGAACTTCTATTTCGAATAGTGTTACAGACAAAAAAGACAATAAGGTAGATTAACAATCAATTTTATTTACAAAAAATATTGTTCATTTTGTTTTCTTTTTATTTTTCTAAATTAGAACAAATTGAAACATGAGATGACTTATACAAATGGAACGTACTGGCTGTTATAGTCTGTCGGGTTATTTATCACTGAAACCTTGTGGAGGTATATTTATTATTAATAAATCATATCAACTTTCTTTTTTTTAATATAATAATAATAGCATTAAGTCTTGTTCGTCCTACTCGTCGTTATTGGTGTGCATTTAACGAATCGACTCAAATATTAGAATTTTATCAATCCGAGTGTGATTTAATTAGTAATAAAATTCCTATTGAAAGTATATCATTATATCGAGCTGCTATAACTTTAAGTACAACTGAAGAACATGTCTTTATTATTTTGTATGTTGATTGCTTTTATATCTTTACATATATTTTTGAATATCTAATCTTAGAACTAATAATAAAGAGTATTATTTACGAGCTGAAAATCATGAAGCATTAATGATTTGGTTGCTTGGATTACAGGTAAGAAAACACAGTTGAAAATGGAGAATGTTAATCTTTATATTATTATTTTTCAGACAAAACGTGATTCATGTATACCATCTAATAATGGATCATTAATACATGAAATACATTCAGGATTTGATACTGATGAAGTAAGTTGAATATTTGTTTTCTTGTATATTAATTAATTTTTTAAAATTAACTTAGATTATTAATAATGAAGATGGTAGGTATTAATAAAGAAAGCATATTCATCCAATCAATAATTCTTATTTATGAATTTTAAATCATTCTAGTTTGGCATATTCATCAATCGGATAGTTTACTACCAACTGATTTTTTACATCCAAGAATGTTTATTACCGAACGATCTAATCTATATGATTTTTCTAGTGAAGATGGTTTGTATCTAATATATTTTTATTTACATGAGAATTTTTTTTGTCAAAAGAATAATTATTTTAGAAAAATATCGTCCTACTTCAACAATTGATAGTGCTACTCGAAAAATGAGGTTTATAATGAAGAGAATTCATTTATTTAATAAGAAATATTTTCTTTTTTTTAGTTTATCATCTAACACAGGTGTTCATCTTTGTCATACATGTACATTATCATTATGTTCAAACTGTCGTTCAACATTTCTTCGATCATCAGAGTTATTAAAAGAATCAACTCCAAATCGAAATGGTTCATCTAGTCATTCAATTGAATCAACAGATTCAGCTTTTTGTGATCAACGTTTATTAGATTTAAATGATGGATCAATTCAACAAAATAATTTACAAGAAACTTTATTGTAATTAATATTTTCTATTTAATTTAATATAATTTTCTTTCTAATTATTTTCTTTAAAAATAGAACATTAAAATGTGAATTAGCTTCATTAATAAATAAAGAAAATGTTTATCAAATAATTATCAAAGAAAAAACAGAAGCAATACGTAAACTTGAAAATCAATTATCTGATATTCTTCAATCAGAAACATCATGTAACAAGTATGATTTATTGAAATAAATTTATTCGAAAGAATAAACAAAACAAAACAAATATTTTAGACATCAAACTATTTCGAAAATATTTCATGAACGAAGTCGAGAAACTAATAATGAAATTAAATTTCTTCATTGTGAAATAACAAGATTGCATGGAATTATTCGTGATGATGATGTTAAAATGCGTAAATTTCTAAAGTAAATATTTTATAAGTTATACAAAAATCGTACTACTTCGCTCTTATTTCTTCGGCATGGTAAGAGGAATCGAGCTGGGATTTTTTTTTTATGTATATTAGTCACGATTTGACGTGGGTATTTATTTTTTTTATTTCAAAAATAATTGTTTTGGTAATTTTTGACAGCTTTCACAAAATTTGTCTCGCGAGGGAACCCGTTCGATGAATAATCGTCGTTTGAGCTCGTATTTTGCGCAAAGGTAATACTCATAGTTTAGATGAAAAATCTTGAAAATGTTCGTGCCACTTAGCCTTTCTTCTTGAAGTTGTAGTCATTTTACTGAATTTTCAACCTATTGTGCAGGGTACCACAAGAAAAATTGCAACAAGGAGTTTCGTCCTGAAAATTTCAATTTCTTTTTAAGAAATCGTATGTCTTTAAACTGAGCTATTTTTGACGCTCTTATGTAAAAGTATTGTTGTTAGCAAACGTCCTATCTCAGAAAGGAAATATCTGCGTGAACTAAAACTTTCAAAATACCATAATGGTCACAAGAGCCGAAAGTTCTTATTGCAATTTTTCTCGTAATATCCTGCATTAGGTTGAAAATTCAATAGAATGGCTATAACTCGAGAAGCAAGGTCTAATGACACGAATTCTTACAGAATTTTCATCTAAACTATGAGTAAAATATGAGCTTAAACGGAAATTATCAGTCGAGTGGGTTACTTGGTTAGAGCAAAAAGAAAACAAGCGTTTTTTCGAATACGTTCGGTACTTTGACTTTACTTTTATTGAAAAAGAAAACAGTGTAAACAAACCAAAAAAAACTTTGAATTTAGTACAACTTTTGATCTACTCTTCAAAATCTATCTGTTTTGAAGTTTCAAATTTTCCTGATGATCTATTCTCTATAAATCCTGGAAAGAATGAGAGAGAAGCGATACTCTAAAATCAATTCTATAAAATAATTTTTCAGAACAATTCGTTCACAACAAAATCAACGTGAAAGTTTACAACGTGATTATATTTATTTATTACAAACATCTTTATCAGCTGAAGATGGTCGATTATTTGGAGGAACAAAAGTAAAAATAATCGGATGGGCTTTTTTTTTCTATCTAATAAAAATATTTTATAAATAAATAGCATCGTGATCGATTGAAAGAACTATTAGCTGAATGTCGTAAACGTGATCCATCATTACCATCATTTGATAGGTAATATTATTGAATTAATTAGATATTTTTTTTAATTTTGTTTTGATCTATAGTTTGGAAGGATCAGGTTTGTATACAGATTCATATGGTTTTAAACATGAAAAAAGCAATGAAAACGATCGTTTACAATATATTTGTGTTAAATTAACACATTTTTATGATTCAAAAGCGCATAGTACTGATGAAAAGGTATGGCGATCATTAATTAAAATATTTCAAAATAGTTCAACAGTTTCGGTAAGATGAATTAATCAGAATTCTTTTTCTTTTTTAAATTCTATTTATTTATTTGAAGAAAACATTGAAATATCTTGTACGACAAGGTATACCAAATCATCTTCGTTCTGAAGTTTGGCATATTTTTATTCAAAAACAAATAAATCATATTCGAAAAGAAAAAGGTTTATCTTATTATCAAAGTCTTTGCCATTTATTACCAAATTCAGATGTAAGAATTAAATTATTTATTAATGAAAAATTTTTATTTTAAGAATTTTTTTTTTTCTTTAGCTTCATAATAAATTTGAAAAACAAATTGCACTTGATCTTTATCGAACAATGCCATCAAATATTCGATTTGCAAATAAAGATTCTGATGGAGTAAGAATAATATATATCACAAAGTTATCACCATTGCACTAAGAGACTTAAGTTTAACAACAAAATGGATTGTCCGAAGTGACATCTGGTTTCACGAGTTTTTAGTATTTAAGCAAGGCATCAACGAAGATATCTAATGATCGATTTTCGATCTAAAATTTTGCCCATCTGTACGTCCAACGTCTCTTAGAATAGTTTATTGTGAAAATTTTAAGTCTTTTGATTTGCTCCTATCATGAAATAAGAGCATAAAATTTCACGGCGTATATGGACAATATACATGACTTATTTCTATGCAAAATTTAAAGCCGAAATTCAAGAATCAGTTTTTTTCGGTGTTACTGAGTGGAATCATTACTTTGATTTAAAAAATACAATATTTTAGCAGCAATATAGTAACAGTACTAACTCTTTTCTGAGATATTTATAATTCATTAGGATCTACATGATGTACATTATCATAGCTTAAAAGCGATTAATCATTTGGGAAACTTCTCTCATCAGATTCTAAAAAGCTCATAAAAACAAGTATAACGTCGGAAAAAGACTCAAGAGCCCGTGTCCTTTCAGGCTTATACTAATCTTGCTGTAGCCTATTTATGAGCATAGAAAACCAGTTCAATCGATATTTGCCAGTTAGAAGCCTTTTCTCGTTAGAAATTTTTTGACTGACATTTCTTTTTTATTGATCATACTAAGTTGTTATTTTTACAACAGTTTCGTTATAATTTTAAATTTATTTGTAAAACAAAAAAATAACAAAATATATGTCCTAGATACGTTATTTACGTCAAGTTCTTCAAGTATTTTGTTTACATAATTCAACAATTGGTTATTGTCAAGGAATGAATTTTATTGTTGCTGTTGCACTTTTATTACTCGAACCTGAAGATGCTTTTTGGCTTTTAATAGCCATAACTGAATGTCATTTAAATAATTATTATGATACTAGTCTTATTGGTGCACAAGTTGATCAATTTGTTCTTAAAGATCTTTTAAAACAAAAAGCACCAGATATTTATCAACATTTTGAAATCAATGAAGTTGAAATAACATCATTAACATTAAATTGGTTTATGGCTATATTTATTGATAGTGTACCATTTGAAACATTATTACGTATATGGGATTGTTTTTTATTAGAAGGAGCGAAAGTTTTATTTCGTTTTGCATTAGCTATTTTAATTATTAATCGTGAAAGTATTTTAACTAAAACTGATACAATATCAATGATGAAACAAATTAAAGATTCAACTAAAAATTTAATTGATGTTGAAAGTCTTTTTAAAGTAGATTAATTTGATTTTCTTTTTTTTTATAATTATTTATATTAAACTTATTTAATATAGATTGCTTTTGAAGATTTGAAACCTTTTTGTCATCGAAAAGATATTGCTATTAAACAAGCTTATTGGATGAAAATGTTAACAGATAATGTTCTTAAACGACAATCATCAAAAGATGGTTTTATAAAACGAGATTATGTAGTAAGTTATTCCCTAAAATAAAAAATCATTCTGTGAATAAATAATCTTATCTGTTTAGTTTCAAGAAATCAATCAATCATCAACAACACTTGATTGTGCTGTTGTTCTACCTGGAAGTATGTTTATTAATAATTTTGATATTAACATAGTACGTACTTATTTATTTAGACCTTGTTTGGATTGCATTTGGTTCACAATATTCTTTACATCTTTTCGAAGTCAGTGTCGACCGTGGTATTATGATTGATCTTGAGGTCACGGTAAGCTCTTTTTTTTGTACAAAAAAAAAAACAAAGTTCAAGATTATTATGAATAGTATAATTCCCGAGCATTTTGTATGACATGTGTCAATAGTGAACTTGTCTTAGTTGGTACTCTTTGTGGTACTTTATTGAGTTTTTCAATTGATGAAAGGTAAGGAAATAGAAAAAAAAAGGAATCAAATATTAAAAGATTTTAATTTTTATTTGTGTTTTTTTCTTGTAGACAAATTCTATGGGCTACTAGACTACGAAGTTGTCTTCTTTGTATGACTAGTTTAAATAAAATTAATTGTAATCGAATTTATTGTGGTTTATCAGATGGAAATTTAGCTATTGTTGAAGTAAATTCAACAATTAAATTTATTCAAAATAAATTCTTTTCATTTTATTTTAGTTATATAATCATCATGAACCAGAAGAAGCATTTTGTATAACTATAGATAAATCAGCTATAACTGCAGTTGCTTATCGTAATGATAAATTATGGTGTTTAAGTTCAAATAAAATGACAATTATCAATGAAAAGTAGTGCATGATAATTAAATATATATATTTGAAATTCTATATATTTTTTTAATTATATCTATAGAACATTAGATATTCTAGCAAATATTGATTTAACATTTGAAAGTCTAGATCCAACATCTTTACTTTATTATGATGATGATGATTCTGATCATATATGGATATTACTTCGATCAACAAGTAATATATTACAAGCATGGAGTCAATCAGAATGTAAATTACATGGAACAATATGTTTAAATAATTTATTTGAAAAATTTGGTAAAACAAATGAACAATTAACAATTATTGAAAAAAATGTTCAATTAAATTCAATTGAAGATGGTAATTCGAGTAATATTATAGATCAAATTCGTATTACTTCATTTCTTATACATAATGAACAATTATGGATTGGTACATCAACAGGTATTATATATGTATTAAATTTTTCATTTGAAAAAAAATCTATACGATCACCATCAATATATTCAACAAAAAGAAAATATTTTCGAAGATCATTAAGTGTAACAAATCATATGATTAATGATACAATTCCACATTATATATCAGTTTTACCAAATATTGTAAATAATCGAAAAAAATCTCGTTCAAGATCTGATTCAGCTATGAAAGATTTATTTTATTCATCTGATGATTGTTGGAAAATGGATTATTCATCAAATTGTCATCTTTATCGTATTGCTTTTCCAATGAAAATAAAAGATCATTCAATAAATTCATATCGACATCATAGACGTCATCATTCAACAATAACTTATCTAACAAATGATAATGAGAAAAAAAATCGAAATATAGATTCTGATGAAACAAGTACAACATTAACATCAGCAAAAACACAATCATCAAGTCCAGCTGTTATATCATCAGAAGAATGGTGTCGTGATAATCAACAAATAAAATTTCCAAATACAACAATTAAACAACAACAAAAATTATTAGAAGCATCAGCAACACTATCATTTAATCTTCTATTTAAAGCAAAAATATCTGATGCACCTGTCAAATGTATTTGTAAAACAAAGTATATAAAAAAACAAAAAAAATTTAACAAGAAATATTAATGATTCTTTTTTCTTTTTCTTTTTTTTCAATGTTTAATTTATTTATCTATATAGATGCCATGATCAATTCGTCATATTGACATGTTCAGGTAAACTCGGTGATGATGAAGTTGTTTGTCGATGGAAACAAGTTTCAGATACAGTAAAAAAAAAACAAAAAACAAACATGTAAGATTATTTTTCTTATTTTTAAAAATTTATATTTTCTAGGATCAATGGACAAATGATGTCATTGTTGAATTAAGTCCTGAAACAATGTTACCTATTCGACCTCTCTATGCTCGTCAACAATATTTAAAAGATCATCGGGATCGGTCTGTTAGCATTTCGTCAAGCACTTCTAAGCTTTAAGCAATTATTTTCTTTTTTTTGTTCTTCGCTACGATTTTCTATGTTTGTAGCTAAACAAAATACTATTTTTTTGTCTATTCATTGATAAAAAATAATTGTAGTATCTTACTTATTTTAGAAATGTTTTTTGGATAAACTTTATTTAACAAAATACATTTTAAAAAAATTATTTAGTGATCAAATATCGTCTACGGGTTTTATTTTTGAAAACATATTATAACATCAATTCATGTCTTACAGTGTTTTGTTTTTGTTTTTTGTTGTGTTGTTGATGTTATATTTATTTTGATAAAGTAAAAATATAATAATACAAAATTCAATCTTGTTTTTTAATCTATACTATTTAAAAAAAAATACTTGATGGAATTATTTATTACTAGAAAGAATTCGAATAACTTCTATGTATCTGAAGAATAGTGTTAAATGTCTATTATAAAGAATAGGATCAACTTTTCAAAGAAATTAATTCAATATAGAAAACTCATAATATGTTCTGATGTAATCATTATTTATCAAGTTGTTTTGTTCATTGATTGTTCATGTTTGAATTGTTCATAACGACTTCTAAGGAGCAAAAAAGGAGCAACGATCTTCGATTGGATTTGCCGAGTTATGATATTTCTATGATTTATGTCGCTCGTACTATGAATATTTTGCTTAGCAGCAAAAACCTCGTGTAGTAAATATCAGGTCATTATGAGAAAGCTGACATCTGGATGAAAAAGAGAGTTAATATTTTCGAAAAATAAGATAATAAATAGAAAGACAGTCTTTTAGATATTCTTCTGTGATCATCAGGGATGGACCATTGTGCAGATCAAGTATCATCTCTACATAGGATTCGCTTCAATTATATAGGACATTAATTTCCCCTATGAAAAGTCTTTAGAACCTTGAGAAACACTGCAATAACATTGCAGATTACAGACGACTTCTTTCTATATATGTCAGATAAACTAAATGAAAAATATCTTCGAGTTGTTGAAAATAGTTAAATGAGAATTCTTTTTCTAAAACAAGAAAAACTAAGATTAATTTATGTTCGATTTATTTGAAACGATTCTACGCATACAGATCCACACCAATATAAACAAAATCAAATTGAATATAGATCAGAAAAAAAAGCTTGTTTTTTGGTTTATACAACATAAAACTATATCTTTTCTCAATATTATTATAGTATTTAATACGCTTGAAAGTATATCATCAAAATATTTATGTTATGATCAAAATTAAAATTCAGTCAAATTTTAACTTCACCTAGTGAAAATTGAAATTTGGTCTCATGAACAGAAAAAGATAAAATTTCGATAACAAAAGGTATGAATATAGGTGAAGATGTTTGATTCTGAAGGTTCTTCATATGGATGAGTATGGGTCTAGAGTAGGGGTGGGACAAACCTAGAATAGATTTGGAATTTGATGCCAAGCATCTTGGAATTTGTATTTGTTTTTACTTTTGAATCAAATACACATAAACAGTTTGCAATTTAGTGACCTTTACCGAAACGCAAACTATATTTATATTATTTTTGTCCGAAGCCAAATCTAAATAGTTAAGGATTTGGCTTCAAATCATAAAATCGTTTCCTGATCGTGCTATATCTATACTAAAGTAGATTATTGTTAATGTCACCTTATCTTACGAAATCTTTTAAGATGCGAGTCATTGGAAAACAAATCCGAAATCAATGCTAATCTCAAATCCGAACTAAATAATACAAAATTCCAAAGCTTCGAGTTTGTTACACTTCAAGCCTTGAAGGTTCGAATGTGAGTGTGGTTATGGACCTGGATTGTCTTTTTAATTGTTTATCTGTCATTACCTTTTCCTATTCATTAAAAAGAATTTAATTCAGCCCAGTCAAAATTGAAATTTTAGTTTTGACTGACATTATATTGGACGAAATTAAAATTTCAATTTAGTCTGAACAAAATTAAAACTTTAATTTTGACCGAGTAAATTTTAAATTTCACCACAATATATATATATATATATATCGTCGTTACCATCTGTGTATCAGAGTTTTGCAGGGTAAGACTGTTTTTGGTACTCTATACCCTGCAAAACTCTGCTTGACATATTGATTCTTATACTTTATATGTTAAACTAACGGCGTCAGCTTATTTCAATAGTGTATTAACTGAAGCAGCTTTGCATTATTGTTTTCGAGATTATCAACCTTACATTAATAGATGAGATATAATCTACGAAAATCAAGCATTGATTTCTTTTTTACAGTTTGATTGGGTTGATCGAATGGTACTTATGCCTTCAACTATGTTTATGATTGTTGGTGTAGCACTTATATTCGAACAATTGATGAAAAACAAAATCTCATTGAAATCATCTAACAGCTTCATTAACCCTTTCAAGTCGATGGGTCCCCTCCCCCCGGTGAGACCCACTATATTTTAAAAAGAAAATGACTAGAAAAACACTTTTCTTGTCCTTTTCCTCAGGCAGAAGGTTATGTGTAATGTATCGTCTGCTCTCTGTGCTATTGTTTGAATTATTTATTGCATAGAATGGTGTTTCTCGTTGAAACAAACAAGACAATAAAATTTGCTACAATCAGAACAGAAGTTTTTTATTTTCTTTACTGTTCCATTATTTGCTTCTCTTGATTGTTGTTGTTTGATTTTCTCGTAGCAGCCAACATAGTGTTCGAACAGCGCGGTCCGACCCTTCCTTTTCTTCGAGTTATGATAAGTGAGTTTGCGCTTCGTTTGGCTTGTTGACTGTTGCTTCGGACCAGGTTTCAGCTTCTCGAATGGCGTACCAAGCAGTAAAGATCGTACAAGAATTTCACGAAACTGTAGCATGGTCATATGGCTTCTGTCATAATTTTCTTTGTAAATCAAATAGGCATTAACTATTGCTGTTCCAAATATCAATTCAAATGGCACTTTTTAATACCATTTTACAGATCGTCTGAGGCATGTATAGTATACTGATAGCTGATCAGATAAATCTGTATCTTGTTTTTCTTCATTGTAATCGAGGATAACTTGTGGCTTCATGATGTGTTCATGTAAAAGAAAAAAATTGAAATCTTGTTTCTTTATTTCGTTCCTACTGTATAATACATGTAGCAGAGAGAAAAAGAAACTTGAGTAACTATTCAGTTCGATGTGAAAGAAGACCTCCTATGCGATAATACAAACAAGAAAAAGAAAAACAAATGGTTGATCCCCACTAGAAAGACCAACGAGTGCATTTATCGAAAGATGAATGCACATAAAAATGAATTTTTTAAAACTATTTTCTAGGAAAATCGAATCGACTCGAAAGGGTTAACAACAAAAATTAGTTATATCTGTAAGAGATCCAGTTGTTCATAAATTAATTATTCCTATTGACTATTTAACGAAACAACATCGAAGTAAAAGAATTGATATTTATTTTGAGAATAGCTAAGTCATTCTTGAAATATAATTGAATGACTTGAAGCTGAAGAAGTATCTAAGCTTAAATCAAAATACGAATGAACATTGAATAAAAATAGTAAACAATGTCTGATTTATCAAATCGACTTGTAAACAAACAATATCATTATAATCGACGGCAACGAAGTTATAGTAATGAGAAACAATCAAACCATCAACGAAACTATAAAATTTATAATGATTTTTTCAAATTCATCATAGTTTTATGCGATAAACTGTTCTCTTCTGCCTTAATATAGATATTAAAACAAAAAAATATTTATCATTTGTTTTCTTACTTTGTATTAGAATAGATGTACTTTTGATATGAGATGGATTAGTTTGTTTTATATATTTAACTTTGAAAAGAAAATTTAATTTAATCTATATTATGAAGAAAAAACTTAGCTTTTTGTATCCAAATTCTATTGAATAATAAAATAACAGAGATAAATTAGTTTCTTTACTTTGTAAACCTCATGTGAGTGTGTATAGTTAGTTATTTTTGAAGCGCATTATCACGCATGATTAGTCAGGTAAATTTAGATAGTTAAAGGTTTTGCGTTTTTGGTAGTGACAAATAGTAGATGTAAATCTGATATGGAGGTGATCAACGAATACAAGTTTACTTCTATGATATTTCTCGAACCATCGATATCGGAATAAAAACAACGAAAATACACAAGATTATGGAATATAAAAGGCAGGCAGCTTCTTCGTTTATATTCATTCATATTATAAATACAAACTTTATATATAAAAGACAAGTAAGTGTAGACATTATATAAAAGTTATTCATAAGTTTTTTTTTTAATCTTTATACTAATTCTAGTCTGGTATAATATAAATAATGTATTGGAGTCCTTTTGGTTTCTATGCTAGATGGAGTGGACCTCATTACGACGGTCCCTATTGACGATATGGTGGAGGATACGGTCGATGCGATCCATTGTATGATTATGGAAGATAGTTGCCTGATCCTAGGTATAGTCACTATTGGTAGAACTCCTACGGTAATGAATAGTAACCGAAAATATTGACATTTGTATTTTTTCTATAATTAATCGTGCAAATAAATATGAATTTCTTTCATGACTTTGTATTAAATAATATTGCTATTTAATGGGTCTTTTCAAATCAGCTCATATATAGTGACTTGTGATATGAATCCTACATTTGAAGGATATCAAATATCGATTCCAAAAAAAGTGAATCAAGACCATTAGACATTAGAGGACTCTTCGGAATAAAAGTAGCATAATAGAATTCATAAAGCACTCAAGCATAACTAATTTTCTATCATTTCTGAAGTTCATTGATTATTTTTAGCATTTGTACACATATTATTACTTAAAAGCTTAATATTTTGCTTCGATCATCTTAGAGTTATATCACCTCCCAGTTTAATACTTCATAAGAGCAAGAATTAAGAAAACTATACTTAATTACAAAATGCATTTTTTTTCATTCACAAAAAAAAACCAGGTATTAAGGATACTGTAGTGGTTCTCTACAGGAAATTATTCAGATTTTCTTTATGAAGAATTCCTTCTCACAATCATTTTATTCAATCAACGCAGTACACATTCTAATGTATTATAGATGAAGACATGTTTCTCAAATAAGAACGAACTCAGAATAATTCTCGTTGTCTAGTACTTAAAACTACGTCCTTCCTACGAGAAATCAAACAGATATAAAAGATTAAAATATGAGATTTCTTCCTGGAGATTTGTAAAAACCTAAGCGACAAAAGGAAAGTGAATATTTTTTGAAGCCATTCCCATTAACCAATTAATAACGAACAAACAAATCAGTCACTTTTTGCCGATTTCCACAGGTCTAAAAGGTTTTTTGAACCGGTCGGATCGAACCGGTTCAAAAATTCTGGACAGGTTACAATCTTTGGTTGGCCCTTATTTTGTTATATGGCTCATTACAACGGAAGTATTCCAGAAAATACAAGCGTAAAAATCTGTAGATATTTAGAACGAAACTTTGCGTCTAATATCAGTTTTATCATCTGGAAAACCTTTGTGAATTCGCCGGTTTATACTGGTTTGGCAATATTTTTAGACTGGTCTAGTATTTCTTGACCCAGTTACAACTGGGTCACAAATACAAATCACGAAAGCAATACGAAAATCAAATTGTACAAGAAGACCAAGCTGAACTAGCACGCCTAAGAGTGATTGTGAGTCTTCTCTTCACTTAAACTCATGCCTACTCTTAAATTGAAATTTAGTTTTCTTTGTATTTTCGAGGCGGTCATGGCATTATGCTAAAAATAGCATAGTTCGACTGCGATAAATTAATAATCTGAACCTTTTTCAGAGTATTCATTGCTTATTAGCACCTACATAATGCATATAGTTCTGTATCAATAGCAATTTGACACTTCGAAAGATTTCTACATCAATTAAATTATAGCTTTCTACTAGTGATAATTAATTTTTATACTGAAGTCAATTTAATATTTGCAAGTTTATAATTTGTAGCAAAAAAAAAAGAAAGAAAAATTTAACAAACAGAAATTAAGAGTATATTCTCCACTTGCACACTAAAACTTTATACACAGACACCAAACAGAAAAAAAAAAAGTTTAAATGAGAAATCATAGCTAACAGGTCATCAAGTAAAGCATCCACACAATGAGTAAGAAAAAAGAGAAAGAAACATATGAAACATACAATCAAAAACAAAATGATCTTTTTGCATAATATATTACGAAACAAAAAGAATGAATGAAAAATAATTCGTTAATGTATAATAACTCAAACTTAGTCCGTTAAATTGGTTCGGATTGATAAAAAAAAAACAAATATGAAGAAAACGCGTCGTCTATACATAAACAAGCGACACCGAGTTAAAAAATAAAATAAACCATACACAGAGTCATTCTCTGTGATTCAATATTCTATTTTTCGTAGAGAAGATAAATTGTCAAAAATTATAAATATATATATCACAGTAGAGAAAGAGAAACATAAATTGCACACAATTCCAAAAAAAACATTCCATAATGATATTAAATTCATTTGCTTTTGAATTCAAAAGCAAATAATATTTTTTATCACACGGATGTTTCAAGAGGTTGTTCCTCTTTCTCATTTTTTCTTGGACCCTACAATACAAAAGAAAAAAAAAAGAATAAAATATTTCAGTATAAAATATATCAATTAAATATAATATTTACATCATAAATTAGACGAGGATCTTTATAAGTACCACTTTCAAATAAACGTTTACCAATATCTTGTCCAAGTTTATTAATAGTTGTTGTATTTGTTGCTATTTGTGTTTGAGCTAAAGGAGTCGATTTTTCATGGCTAAAAACAAGAAAAAAGGAATGTCATTTCAAGAATATATTTATTTATCATTTTAATTTTACTTTTGAGAAGTAGAAGAAGGATTTATTTGAACTTGAGTAGTTACTCCTTTCTTTGGTAAACCTAAGACCGTATTTAACATATCATCAAATTCAGGAGGATTTTCTAAATTTGAAATAATTTATTTATTTAAATGATTAATTATAGTATATACCTTGATTAGCACTTGATTGACTTCCTCGTCGTGGAGGAGGTAGTTGATGACCATTTGTTCCTCCTCCTCCTCCTCCTCCTGTTCTATTACTGGACGATCGAAGATGTTGTCGACCAAGTTGTCTTTGTGATGAAGTTTCTTTATCCACTGTCGAACTTGTTCGACTTTTTATTGATAATGCATCCGGTTGTTGTTGAGTATGATATCCATTTGTTGTTGTACTGTTAGACATTCGTCTTTGTTCATTAATATGATTTGATGTTGTTGTTCTTGTTGTTGTTGTTGATGATAATGATAAACTTTTATTACTTATATCACGTAATCGTGATTCAAGATAACGCATAAATACATGTAAATCTTCAGGAGATTTTGATGTATCAAATTGAACTACACGTAAACGTATATCATCAAGTGCTGCATGAATACGTATATCATTTGATGCTTGAAGACGTGCAAATAATAATTGAATTTCTCGATTACTATGTGTCATTATATAATTATAAAGAAGATCATCATTATCAATATGAGGTGTATTATAACATATTTCAGAATTTTCACTAACTTGTCCTGTATACCATTTCATAGACTAAAAGAATATTCATTACAAAGTAATACATATAACTTTCTATATTATATAAAGATCCATTAATTACTGTACAGGAATTATTTAGGAATACAATGGGCACGGTGATCCTTGATGTCACCGATCTTAGGTAGAGCGTTGTACTAGTCTAGATATGCACATATAGAGTAAAGGTGAAGATGATGATCTTAGATTTATTTTGGTTGCAGGAGATCTATTTCAAGAAAATAGCTGAGTTTTATAAATCATGAGAACTAAACTTTTTTCAAACGAGAAAAAGTTCCCTATAGATTCAGATCTCTGGATCTCCGAAAACTTTTAGTGTATTTTTTTATGAAATTCAGCTATTATGGCTTTCCAATCAAAAACTATCCAAAACCATCATAGTTTTATCATCTAAAAGATAGATATAAGAATTAAAAATAAGAAAATCTGTGATATATAATCAGGTCTAAAGTTTTACGAGGAGAGTGATTCGAACTACTAAGCCTTTGTTGCTAAGATTTCGAATTTAGAGTAGAATTTTTTTCTACGGTAACTAGTCTAATCGATGTCTTTATATGAACAAAGTTTCAGGCCAAAATTCAAAAGTATGATTTCGCTTGAAAACCGAACCCTACAGGAAATATCCATTAAACATTCGAAATCTCAGCAACAATAGCTTAATAGTTCGAACCACTGTTGGGTGTTTACCTACTCGCCAGCCCCTATCAATTGAATATAGTTTTAGCTTAAAAGTGATTTATCACTTAGGAATCTTTTCTCGTTATCTAATATAAAAGAAATCGATATCATTGATCTATTTTGTCAAATAAAAAATCAAAATCTATCTATTTAATGTTTTCTTACCAACATTCTTGCATTATCTTCTGAATGTGGTAATGCTGAAAATGAACTACTTGCAACAATTGGCGGAAAATTTAAAAGAATTTGTGAATTTCTTGTTTGATTTTGACTAACGCTATTAAGATTATTTTCAACAGATTTTGATGGTTGTGTACGTGTTGTAATATTTTGATCATGTTTTATATATTGATCACTAGTATTATATTCTGATACATTATGAAAACTTCTTGATAATCTTGCTTGTCTTTTAAATGATTGATCATCATCATCAATAATATTTTCATCTGATGGTGAATATGATGATGAAACAAATGTACGTAAATCTTTTGTTGATATTGATAATGGTGAATGTTTTTTTGTATCATGTAAAGAATTTCGACTTAAAGAATTTTGTATTTGTTTAATTAATGCATTTGTATCAGGAATGATTGAACGAGATTTTTCTTGTGTATCAATTGATGATACAGCACGTAC